CCGCTTCTCGCCGCCCCCATTGGCCCGGAACGGTGAACCACGGCCAGTGGGGGCCGCGATTGGCCAAACCTGCCATGTCAGCAGGTAAATAAACTAGCCCGGCCCGCTAGGGGGCTTACCCTGGCGAGCCGCGTGCCAAACATTGCCGACCCCTTCTCTATTGCGTAGGGCTAAACTATGGCTACCCTGTCCCAGGAGCAGTCCAGGAAACTGATTGTGACACAGATTTACAATCTACCATTTAGTTTCTCCCTGCTCATGGTGTGTGTGTGTATGGACATTTAGCCTGCACCCACTATGTGGGTGAGGGGTGTGTGTGTGCAAAGATGGCTTATAGCCACACAAAGGTAAAATGAGGCACAGTCTCTGACTCGGAGAGCACCTACTCTAAAACATATTAATAGAAGTTAATCAATAGGCTCCTCGTTGCTAATGTTGATTTAACATATGGCAACTGTCTTATTGTATCTATAGTGAATCCAGAGTTCAACACATTTAAGGCAAATGTTCTCTAAATCCATAGTTTTCTCATTAAGTTACTAATGCAAGGTGTATTTTCAAATACAACTACTCTATTCTCTTTATTGACAGCAATATTTCATGCTGTCATTTGTTTGTGTAGCCCATGTCCCAAGGTGGAGCTCAAGCCTTCTTCCTGGTGCCTGCTGCTAGGCGTGGCTTCTCCCCTGTTGGGTCCTGGGCTTGTTTTCCTATGCCTGGTGTCTCCACCCAATGTGACCCGTCACTGTGATGGGTTTCACCTTATGAGTAGGTGTGTTCATGTAATGTTGAACATGGTTTTCAGAAGTGCTGGCTATCCGCAAAGCCAATTGAAATGGATGGGAGCTGTCAGGGTTCAGCACCTCTGAAAATGAGGTTCAGGTGAACTAGTTCCAGCAAAGTAAGAACTAAACAGGAATGGAACATTTTCCTCAGGTCTGAGATCAGTTTAAATCTCCCCTTACTCTGATTTTCCGGCCACTTATGGTAGCATGTTCTCTTCTCAAATGGTCCCTGATCCACTCCCCCGCCCTATGACAAGTCATCTGTGGGACTTGGAGAGAGCAGCTTAGTTCTTTCCCCTGACTCTCTGGTCACCAGTAGATAAGCTATCTGATAAAATGCAGCTTCTCTTCTGTGTCCTACTGCAGCAGCTTGCCAAGTGACACTTTGGGGCTTCCTGGGCATTTGTATCTCGACCCCCACTGAAACCTTAAAGTGAGTTAAAATGTCACGTGATCTGGCAGCATATTAACGACCTAGATACCATCTTCTGTTAGTCTTTGCCTTTGCGTGCACAGTGTCATTCTAAAGGTCACTTTTTAAAATACATACTTTCCTTCAACTTTTAGGGCCTGGGTGAAATCACTGGGGGGAGGAAGGGGTAAGAGGGAACATGCCTCTCCCACTCAACTTCTTATCCTCTTGTTTATGTCCCAGAAGTGTTTAGAATTAATGCATTCCACTCCTGGCTCCACCCAGTTTTTTCTAATGTAGTTGCTCTCCTGTCCTAAGACCAAATCCATATAGTTGGACTGGGCACTAGGGACATGTGTGGGAGGTGGGTGGAGCAGGAGGAGGAATCGACTTGCTCCAGGTTGTGGAATGACTGCAAAAGGGCTCCATGGAGCCTACTCCCATCTAGTACCTGGAGTAGCCTACACAGCCCTATGTGATCCCTTTTCAGCAGCAAGAGGGATCAACAAAGCAGCAGATCTTCTGGCGCCACTCCTCCCCTCTATATATGTCCTACCCACACATTTTCCTAAGGCGAGGTAGGGCGTCACTCTAAGCTGGGCTATATGCTATGTAAGGGGGATGCACTCCCGTGTACCATTCACTTAGTCTAGAGCCACCTCCTCCTTTCCCCTCAGTGCAGCAGAATCTCTCACTGGTTTTGCTATTGTGGGACCTTGGTAGTAATGGAGGTGAGGGCTGGGTTTCTCACTTGATGAAGAAACTTGTTTCTCCAACTCCAGAGGTCCATATGTGTTGTATTTGGAGGACTGCATTTGATACATGTTAGCAGTGTGACCAGCATTGCCAACTGGTTGTCTAATTATCCCTACACTATGGCCAGTCCTTGCCCACAGACAACCCGCCAACCTTAAGCATATTCTCACCAGCAACCACGCACCGCACCATAACAACTCTAACTCAGGAACCAATCCATGCAACAAACCTCGATGTCAACTCTGCCCACATATCTACACCAGCAACACCATCACAGGACCTAACCAGATCAGCTACATCATCACCGGTTCATTCACCTGCTCCACCAATGTTATATATGCCATCGTGTGCCAGCAATGCCCCTCTGCTATGTACATTGGCCAAACTGGACAGTCACTATGTAAAAGGATAAATGGACACAAGTCAGATATCAGGAATGGCAATATACAAAAACCTGTAGGAGAACACTTCAACCTCCCTGGCCACACAATAACAGATGTAAAGGTAGCCATCTTACAGCAAAAAAACTTCAGGACCAGACTCCAAAGAGAAACTGCTGAACTTCATTTCATTTGCAAATTTGACACCATCAGCTCAGGATTAAACAAAGCCTGTGAATGGCTAGCCAACTACAAAAGCAGTTTCTCCTCCCTTGGTGTTCACTCTTCAACTGCTAGCAGAGGACCTCACCCTCCCTGATTGAACTAACCTTGTTATCTCCAGACTGATTCTTGCCTGCATATTTATACCTGCCTCTGGAAATTTCCATTACATGCGTCTGACGAAGTGGGTATTCACCTACGAAAGCTTATGCTCCAATACGTCTGTTAGTCTTAAAGGTGCCACAGGACTCTCTGTTGCTTTTTACAGATCCAGACTAACATGGCTACCCCTCTGATACCCTACACTATGTTGACACTTGAAAATGATGGCTCCGTATAGCTTTCTTCTCTAGGAGTAGGCAGTAGACATGCCTGCATGGAGGAGTTGAGAGCCTGATGAGTTCTGATGACTTGTTGTTTAACTTCCCTACGCTCTCTCCATCCCCTTCCAACTCTCAACGTTTTACACTATGAGTCTAAAACTGCATGCAGTGTACCCAGGCTAAAAATAAGTTCTCATTCTGTGACAACTACACAGTTGGATGGCTGCACTATATTTTCTGCTCATCTGAAAGATTTAAAAATAGGAAAAAGAAAGAGAAAAATAAAGGAATAAGCATTCCACTGGAAAATTTATTCTGAAAAATGTTGAGGATATGAAACTGTTCAAGTGCTGCTTTGCCTGAAGAAGCCAAACCTGTGGAAGCTGTAAAAGAGCAAGTCTTCTCTGTGGAGAGGGTGATAAGTTGCTTGTAAGGCAATAGAAGAAACTGTGATTTGAATTTAGTTGTCCTTCCCCCATTAAATAGGCAGGAAGAAAAGTGTCTTAAATACACAGAGGAATCCTTGTCTCCTTCCAAGGAAAACTTGGGAGAATGTATCTTTATGGTGTAACCTTGGGTACGTCCTTGGACAAGTGTTGAAAGGACAGGAGAGCAGTCTGACACATTGGAGATCTTGGTCTCTTCTTGTTCCCATCACTATAATGGGAAGTTAGCTTAGTTTGCTGGGATCACAGTATGAGTATCCTCTGGATTAGTGTGTTTTGCAACGTTCAGCATAAAACTTCAAGTTCTGGAGCTTAAGCATTGCATTAATACAGATAGTGCACTTTTGCAAGGAAGTATCTGTTTTGACTTATATCTTAATTGCACAATTTCTAATTAAGGTCTCTTCTGAACTGAGATATTGCAGAGATGTTTAGCACTTTGCACTAATACCCATTTTGTCATAAGAGTATACTGGCATGCTACAAAAAGCAACACATTAAGGGCAAATTCATGCACCCGATGGATCTATTTCCTTCTCTAATATTTTCCTCTCCCTACATGGGCAGCAATCTCATTGACACCCCCATGGGAGAAATGTATGTGTGCAAAAAACATAGTGTTGGAATCAAGATCCTGACATATTTTTGTAAAAAGGAATTTAAAATAAGGTATGGAGCAATAATTTAACATTTTAACTCATCAGATAGGACATATTTTCATCTTTAAAGAGACACTGTCATTCTGCCCTCCCCCCCGCAAGAGCATGATCTGCATTATAACTATGTTATGATCTTCTGGGGGAAATAAACTACTTTGAATCAGATTCTGATACCCTCATGTTGAGTAATATCTTAAATTTATGGGACTACTCGCAGAACTAAATACTACTCAACATGAGTAAAGGGATCAGAATCTGGCACTGTTTATG